TCTGCAGGACCTACTGGATAATACACCAAAAAGAGACATTATTTTCATTACAGGAGACTGGAATGCCAAGGTGGGAAGTCAAATGACAACAGGGATCACAGGCAAGCATGGTCTGGGAGAACAAAATGAAGCGGGATGCAGGCTGATAGAATTTTGCCAGGAAAACTCGCTGTGTATAACAAACACTCTCTTCCAACAACCTAAAAGACGGCTTTATACACTGGACCTCACCAGATGGTCAACACCGAAATCAGATTGACTACATCCTTTGCAGCCAAAGGTGGCGGACATCCATCCAGTCGGTGAAAACAAGACCTTGGGCTGACTGTAGCTCAGATCACGAACTTCTTATTGCCCAATTTAGAATAAAACTAAAGAGATCAGGGAAAATACACAGACCAGTTAGATATGATCTCACTAACATTCCTAGCGAATATACAGTGAAAGTGAAGAACAGATTTGAAGGACTAGATTTAGTAAACAGAGTCCCAGAAGAACTATGGACAGAAGTCCGCGACATTGTTCAGGAGGCGGCAACAAAGTACGTCCAAAGAAAAAGAAAACCAAGAAGGCAAAATGGTTGTCTGCTGAGACACTGGAAGTAGCCCAAGAAAGGAGGAAAGCAAAAGGAAACAGTGAAAAGGGGAGATATGCCCAGTTAAATGCGCAATTCCAGAGGTTAGCCAGAAGAGATAAGGAACTATTTTTAAATAAGAAATGCATGGAAGTGGAAGAAGACAACAGAATAGGAAGGACAAGAGACCTCTTCCAGAAAATTAGAAACATTGGAGGTAAATTTCAGGCAAAAATTGGTATGATAAGAAACAAAGATGGCAGGGACCTAACAGAAGCTGAAGAGATCAAGAGAAGGTGGCGAGACTATACAGAAGATCTGTATAGGAAGGATAATAATATTGAGGATAGCTTTGACGGTGTGGTGAATGAATTAGAACCAGACATCCTGAGGAGTGAGGTTGAATGGGCCTTAAGAAGCATTGCTAACAACAAGGCAGCCGGAGATGACGGGATCCCAGCTGAACTGTTTAAAATCTTAAAAGATGATGCTGTCAAGGTGATGCATGCCATTTGCCAGCAAATATGGAAAACACAAGAATGGCCATCAGACTGGAAAAAATCAACTTATATCCCCATACCAAAAAAGGGAAATGCGAAAGACTGCTCAAACTTCCGTACAGTGGCCCTTATTTCTCATGCCAGTAAGGTAATGCTCAAGATCCTGCAAGGAAGACTCCAGCAATACATGGAGCGAGCGTTGCCAGATGTTCAAGCTGGGTTTAGAAAAGGTAGAGGAACGAGAGACCAAATTGCCAATATCCGCTGGATAATGGAGAAAGGCAGGGAGTTTCAGAAAAACATCTACTTCTGCTTCATTGACTATTCCAAAGCCTTTGACTGTGTGGATCATAATAAATTGTGGCAAGTTCTTGGTGGGATGGGCATCCCAAGCCACCTTGTCTCTCTCCTGAGGAATCTGTACAAGGACCAAGTAGCAACAGTCAGAACTGACCACGGAACAACGGACTGGTTCAAGATTGGGAAAGGCGTACGGCAAGGCTGCATCCTCTCACCCAACCTTTTTAACTTGTATGCAGAACACATCATGCGATGTGCGGGGCTGGATGAATGCAAGGCTGGGGTGAAAATTGCTGGAAGAAACATTAACAACCTCAGATATGCAGATGACACCACTCTGATGGCCGAAAGCGAGGAGGAGCTGAAGAGCCTTCTAATCAAGGTGAAAGAAGAAAGCGCAAAAGCCGGGTTGCAGCTAAACATCAAAAAAACCAAGATTATGGCAACAAGAATGATTGACAACTGGAAAATAGAGGGAGAAACCGTGGAGGCCGTGACAGACTTTGTATTTCTAGGTGCAAAGATTACTGCAGATGCAGACTGTGGCCAGGAAATCAGAAGACGCTTACTTCTTGGGAGGAGAGCAATGTCCAGTCTCGATAAAATAGAGAGTAGAGACATCACACTGGCAACAAAGATCCGCCTAGTCAAAGCCATGGTATTCCCTTTAGTAACCTACGGATGTGAGAGCTGGACCTTAGGGAAGGCTGAGCGAAGGAAGATCGATGCTTTTGAGCTGTGGTGTTGGAGGAAAGTTGAGAGTGCCTTGGACTGCGAGAAGATCCAACCAGTCCATCCTCCAGGAAATAAAGCCCGACTGCTCACTGGAGGGAAAGATACTAGAGACAAAGTTGAAGTCCTTTGGCCACATCATGAGGAGACAGGAAAGCCTAGAGAAGGGAATGATGCTGGGGAAAGTGGAAGGCAAAAGGAAGAGGGGCCGACCAAGGGCAAGATGGATGGATGGCATCCTTGAAGTGACTGGACTGACCTTGAGGAGCTGGGGGTGGTGACGGCCGACAGGGAGCTCTGGCGTGGGCTGGTCCATGAGGTCACGAAGAGTCGGAGACGACTGAACGAATGAACAACAACAACATTAAGATATACATTATATATTGTGTATTGTATATTAAGCTATATTAAGTTAATATAGATAGTATATTGTGTATTGAACTATATTGAGATATTATAGATAGATTAATAGGAAAGCTATTGAGAAAGTATTGAGTATTGAGTTTATTGAGAAAGAACTATTGAGTTAGATAGATAGTATTGAGCATTTGCCTCCAAAGCTAACTTTGAGCAATAGATAGGGAAAAAAACCTGCTTTTTTCTGACCATAGGAGCTCAGGGTTAGGGTAAGGGATTCCAGAATTCCTTTTACTTTTTGGAGGAAGGGAAAACTCATCTCTATGCTTTACCAATTGACTGTAACTTTGATGAACTGTGCCAAGTCTGCAAGTGTTAGAGACCCTAAATTGGGTTTTCTTAGATCCGCATCGCAGGAACACGTAAGGAAGGAGACAGTCCCAAAAAATAAATAAAAAACAAGGTTTATTTTAGTTTCTTCATTAAGAAGATGGACAGCCTGGCAGCATATGCATATACTACCCTTCAAGTGACTGCCGCGTCCCCTTGGCTTTTTGACCACCGATATATAACCTCAAGTAAACAAGAACATTTTTTTTTGTCATGGAAAGTACTCTCTTTCCAGCCCCCCTCCCTTGACCTTTTGATGGAAAGTACCTTCTTGTACCTGCAGACTCTGCGCTTAACCACAACCTTTGAACTTAACCACAATACAACTTCTGACCTCTTCATGTCACATCTTGTTTCTTAAAAACATTTTCTTCTGTGTTGCTCTTTTTCTACAGAGAAAGGGTATGTTTCTCTTTTTCTGTTAATTTCATTCAAAGCCCCTTGCTTAGCATTTGCAAATTTCACTCAAAGACCCTTTCACAAGGACTTTGTATAAATAAATATCATTTTTTGATGTTTAAAACCAGTAATAGCTTCAGTTGCTGAGTATCTCAAGCTTCTCAGGAAAGACACCTGCAGTTCGCTCAGACATAGAGAGAAGCACGTCGCAGTTTTATTTTTTATAGCGTCTGGGTGGACGGCACACTCTGCTGTTCTGATCTGGAGATTAGAATTAATCTAGAGCAGATGGATTGGCGATGGTGGTGGTGGTGGTGATAGTGGTGGTGGTGGATTGTGGAGGTATGGATCGTCAACGTAACCTTTTCCAGTTGCTTCTCGTCAATCCTGCTGTTAACTTATTATTATATTTTTTCTTATGTTTATTTATACCCTGCTTTTTCTCTCCACTCAGTTAATGTGGTGTTAAACTGCATGAATTCCCCAGTGTAGATGCACCCTAAAGTCACTGTACAGATATTTTCAAACTGTATTTCTTCCCATCCAAGAAAAAAATGAAATGCAAAGATGCAGAATGGGGGACAATGATGCCTGGCTCGAGAGCTGGACGTGTGAAAAAGATCTTGGAGTCCTCATGGACAACAAGTTAAACATAAGCCAACAATGTGATGTGGCGGCAAAAAAAGCGAATGGGATTTTGGCCTGCATCAAGAGGAGCATAGTGTCTAGATCTAGGGAAGTCATGCTCCCCATGCTCTATTCTGCGTTAGTTAGACCACGCCTGGAATATTGTGTCCAATTCCGGGCACCACAATTCAAGAGAGATATTGACAAGCTGGAATGTGTCCAGAGGAAGGTGACTAAAATGATCAGGGGTCTGGAGAACAAGCCCTATGAGGAGCGGCTTAAGGATCTGGGCATGTTTAGCCTGCAGAAGAGAAGGCTGAGAGGAGACATGACAGCCATGTATAAATATGTGAGAGGAAGCCACAGGGAGGAGGGAGCAAGCTTGTTTTCTGCTTCCCCGGAGATCTAGGACGCAATGGAGCAATGGCTTCAAACAAGAGAGGAGATTCCATCTGAACATGAGGAAGAACTTCCGGACTGTGAGAGCCGTTCAGCAGTGGAACTCTCTGCCCCGGAGTGTGGTGGAGGCTCCTTCTTTGGAAGCTTTTAAACAGAGGCTGGATGGCCATCTGTCAGGGGTGCTTTGAATGTAATATTCCTTGGCTGAATGGGGTTGGACTGGAAGGCCCAGGAGGTCTCTTCCAATGCTAGGATTCTATGATTCTGTGATCTATTGTGTGAAATGCTTTGCGCATTATGTTGGGAGGAAAGCATGGGGTTTATTGAATAAACAAGCATAAGAGACAAGTTACTTTTCACCAGCATCTCAAGACAGAACGAAGTGATTACTTCCCAAAAGTCATCATATATAATCAGAACGAATTGCTGCTGAAAAGTAATTCTCTGATAGTGTCTAGGTATAGTACAGTTTGGAACCACTTCAACTTCCATAACTCAATGCTATAGATGATGGGAGTTGTAGTGTGTGGAGACACCAGCGGTTTTCAGCAGAGAGGGCAAAAGACCTTGCAAAACTAGAACTCCCAGGGTGCCACAGCATTGAGCCATAGCAGTTAATGTGGTGTCAAACTGCATCCATTCTGCTGTGTCGTTGATTCTGGGGCCAGATTTGGGTCAGAATATTGTGTCCATTCCTGATTTCCCTCTTTTTGTCCTTCCAGCCGCTGTTGTGATAAGAAAAGTTGTGGGAACCGCAACGAAACGCCTTCCGACCCGGTCATCATTGACAGGTAAGAAAACCTTGTTGGCAATAGCAACTTTCTTCAAGCTTCCACTAGTTATTTGTTATGTATATTATCCAGATTGCTTACTGTATTGTATATGTGTGTATTGGAATCCAGTGTTCCTTAACTCTGTGCTGTGAGAGGGGCTGCAGACCCCATGACCAGATCTGGGACTGTTCAAGACTCAGATTCCATTTTAGAAACAGTATGCTTTCAGACTCCCGTCGAAACAGAATGCTTTAGAGAACTGACTTCATAAGACTCGATTGAATACTCAGACCAGAGAGATGTTTTAGATTAGGGACTGTTGATTATGAGAAAGATGCCCTGTGCTATCTGCACAGAGAAACTACTGCCAATCCTATCTGTAACTGGATCGAAATGCAATGTACCTGCATGTTGAATACATGAAGTTTGTGAGTAAACCAAGTATGTTACTTTTAAAGAAGTCTGCTTATTTTGGTCTCTTGTGAGCATGATTTCAACCAGGAAGTTTTAAGTGAGAGTAGATGTATATGTGGTGGCACAGTGGGTTAAACCGCTGAGCTGCTGAACTTGCTGACCGAAAGGTTGGCGGTTCGAATCTGGGGAACGGGGTGAGCTCCCGCTGTTAGACCCAGCTTCTGCCAACCTAGCCGTTCAAAAATATGCAAATGTGCGTAGATCAATAGGTATTATTTATTTATTTGAACTGCTAGGTTGGCAGAAGCTGGGGCTGTCAGCGGAAGCTCATGCCACTCCCCAGAATCAAACCTGCGACCTTTCGATCAACAAGCTCAGCAGCTCAGTGCTTTAACCCACTGCACCACTGGGGGCACCTCATTTATTTAATTATAGTATTTCTATTCCACTTTTCTCACCCCGCAAGGCGGATCACAGTGCACATATACATGGCAAACATTCAATTCCATAGACACACGACATATGTAGACAGACACATAGAGGCTATTTAACTTTCCAGCTTCATGAGGGTATGTTCAAATTCCGGCCACTAGGGGAGCAGTCGCTTCACCATCCACTTGTGACACCGATGGAGTACTTCCTCATTCTTTTGCACTGCTGGAATTTTTTATGGCATCGTAAATTAGTTAAATTAGCCTCCTCTCATAAGCAGTACCAAAATGCTGAATATGCAAATGGTGGGCCTGATTCGGCCTGCGGGCCTTGAGTTTGACACATGCGCCTTAGTGCATTGTCTGCATGCGTTCCAACGATGGCTCGGTGGCAATTCTCTGCTGTCGCCTTATTGTGAAAAGTAGACCTCGCTTCTATCTTCATGCTTAGTTTCTTGGGTTCCGTATGAAGGCCAGTGTGACTCTCAACAGCTGGTTGTAGTATCATGACACAGTTATGTAGAAATGGTGCGCGAAGAAGCCAGAAACCATAGGGAAAGAGACCACATTGTTCCTAGATTTGGCAACCTGATGGATAATTGTACCGATAGCATGGATCGCCAAAAGAGAAATAAATGGGTCTTAAAGCAAAGTAGTCAGATTGTGCATGAGATAATATTTCTGGCTAGTGTGTGATTGTGAAAGCTGAATAATGCCTTCAGGAGGAAGGTCAACTCGCTTGGAAAAAGTGGAGTTGGAAGAGAGCTTCTAGAGATATCGCCCACTGCCAAAAAAGACAGATAAGACTAAAAGTAAATCAGACTTGGAAACCAAAATGACTAAACCAGGGTTGTCATACTGAGGCAAGATGACTCACGAGAAATGATGATATTCCTGAGTAATGTTGGAGGCCGCAAGAAAAGACAAATGTTGCATTACAGATGGGATGACTCAGTTGAAGAAGTCTTGGCTCTTCGTTCGCAGAACCTGAGATTTCTTGGAAATCTCTCATCTGTAGGGGCGCCGTATTGTCAGATGATAGAGTTGGAGGAGACTCCAAGGGCCATCCAGTCTGACCCTGTCGTGCCCTGCCGAAACACACAAGCAAAGCCCTCCTGGCAGATGCACATTCAATCTCTCCTTAAAAATGTCTGCACGGGACATCTGTAGGGATACCAGGGTGCTTGTTTATAAAGTCATTGTCCTCTCAACACTGCAAGACATGGACTATCTACAGACGTCACATGCAACTCCTAGAATGATTCCATCAGCCTCCAAAAAATCCTGCAAATCTCTTGGGAAGACAAGCAGACAACTGTCAGCATGCTGGAAGAAGCAATGACCACCAGCATTGAAGTGATGGTCCTCCACCATCAACTCCGCTGGACATGCCACGTTGTCGGGATTCCCGACCACCATCTCCCAAAGCAGTTGCTCTAATCTGAACTCAAAAATGGAAAACAGAATGTTGGAGGACAGGAAAAGAGATTGAAAGATGGGTTCAAAGCCAACCTTAAAAACTCTGCCATAGACACCGAGAATTGGGAAGCCCTGGCCCTTGAGCGCTCCATCTGGAAGTCAGCTGTGACCAGTAGTGCTGCAGAATTTGAAGAGGCACAGATGGAGGGTGAAAGAGAGAAACGTGCCAAGAGGAAGGCGCGTCAAGCCAACACTGACCGAGACCGCCTTCCACCTGGAAACCAATGCCCTCACTGCGGGAAAAGATGCAGATCAAGAATAGGGCTCCACAGCCACCTATGAACCCACCCCCAGGACACCAAACTTGGAGGACCATCATCCTTGGACTATGAGGGATCGCCTAAGTAAGTAAGTAAGTAAGTAAGTAAGTAAGTAAGTAAGTAAGTAAGTAAGTAAGTATCCTTCCAAATATTTAAACGTAACCTTTCATTCTCCAAGCCAAACATCTCCAGTTCCCTAAGCCACCCATAGGTTTTCATGGTTTCCAGACCTTGGACCATTTTGGTGGTCCTTCTCTGGACACCTTCAGTTTGTCACTGTCCTCCTTGGATGTTGGTGCCCGGAACTGGACACAGTTTTATCCAAGATGACCAAAGCAGAATAGAAGGGTCCTTGATCTTGGATCTAGTAGGCACTTTCCATTGGCTTTCCTTATCCAACTGAATGGACCATAACAACAGCAATAATGAAGTCTTATTAGAAGTCAAAGTGGTTAAATGGAAAAATCTACTTTGGACATCTTCTGAGACGCTTTGGAAAAGACAGCAATCTCAGGAAAAGTGGAAGGTAGTAGAACCCAAACAGATTCACTCAATAAAGAAAGCCATGGTCCTGAGTTTGCAAGACCTCCCTGGGGTGCTGTGAATTTTTCAGGCTGCATGGCCATGTTCCAGCAGCATTCTCTCCTAACGTTTTGCCTGCCTCTGTGTCTAATGGCATCTTCAGAGTGGAGTGGAATGTGTGGAACCTTGTGAAATAATGTCCAGGGTGGGAGAAAGAAACCTTGTCTGTTTAAAGCAAGTGTGAATGTTGCAATTAGCAAGCTTGAATTAGCTTTTGAGTAGCCAAAGTCAGTGAGGGTATCTGCATAGAGGTATCCTATTCTCTGTTGCCTGGGGGAATCCTTTGTTTGGGAGGTGTTCTCTGGCACTTGATTGCTCTCTAGAGTTCTGTTTATTATTTACGATCTCAATTCTGGTGTTTTGTAATACTGGTAACCAGATTTTGATCATTTTCATGGTCTCCTCCTTTATGTTTCCACCAAATGCTAATTCAAGCTCGCTAATTGCTAAATTCACACTTGCTTTAAACACACAAGTGTTCTTTCTCCCACCCTGGACATTATTCTACACACAGAGATGAATACACACACACTCCATGTGCTTCACTGCCAACAGAACCTCTGGGGATGCCAGCCACAGGTGCAGGCAAAGCGTTAGGAGAGAATGCTGCTGGAACACAGCCATACAGCCTGAAAAACTCACAGCAACTCAAAGCTGGTAATAACAGAAATCCTTGAAATCCTCTGATTCATAGGTTTGCTGTAAGTCATAGTTGACTTGTTGGCAAATTGCAACAAAGAGTGGGCTGTTTGGTCAATGGAGAGTCAGAGTATGGATAAATTGCATTGGCTTAAGAACACTGATAGAATCATAGAGATGGAAGAGATCTCATGGGCCATCCAGTCTAACCCCATCCTACCAAGAAGTAGGGAAATCGCATTCAAAGCACCCTTGACAGATGGTCATTCAGCCTCTGCTTAAAAGCCTCCATAGAAGCAGCCTCTATCACAATCTGGGGCAGAGAGTTCCACTGCTGAACAGCTCTCACAGTCAGAAAGTTCTTCCTGTAGTTTGAAGCCATTGCTCCGTGTCCTAGTCTCCAGGGCAGGAGAAAACAAGCTTGCTCCCTCCTCCCTGTGGCTTCCTCTCACATATTTATACATGGCTATCATGTCTCCTCTCAGTCTTCTCTTCTGCAGGCTAAACATACCTAGCTCTTTAAGCCGCTCCTCATAGGGCTTGTTCTCCAGACCCTTGATCATTTTAGTCACCCTTCTCTGGGCACATTCCAGCTTCATATGACATATTTGCAGATTCCCCAGAGGCTCTGTCTTCTATATCTGGTGCATTGCAGTGATACATCTCATGTATTCGTCTTGGAATTTGGATTAATTTTGGCCCGCATGAGGAGAAATAACAAATCCCAGCAAACCAACGGTGGCAATGTTTCTCCAACATTACCTCTCTACTTTGCAACGTATGTGTGAGCCACTTTCTCCCTTGGTCAGACAATAGGCCAATGGGCTGAAAGAGGACCTCCTTTTCGGGCGCATCTCGGTGGCGCTTGGGGTGCCATGATAACACACTGACATTTCTCGGGCTTTTGTCCGCCGTGATGGTATCTCCGCCGCCGGGTGCCTTGGGAAGTTCTGCCTGTCACTCATCCTGCCCTGGTGGCCGGCGGCAAAGAATAGGGATTGACAAGATTAGGAAGAGGAGAATCGAACCTATTAAGGTCTGTCTGGCCAGAGAGCTTTGTGCGCGGTGATCTTTCCACGTCTCCTTCAGCTGGGACTCAGGCACACATGCAAACACAAGGAGAAATACAAGGAGGCACCCTTTCTGTCCCGGATGAAAACAATGACAAATGCAGGCAGTCCCCGCATTACAAACATCCAACTTACAAACAAAG